TTCCCTGCCTTCCAGAGGCTCTCCAGGTGCCCCCAAGGTTTGCAGTGTGATTTGCTGTGAGGTTTGTAACACTGGGACGTGCAGCCCTTGTCCTACAGAGAGCAGCAGCATAAATCTCCTTTAAGGAGCTCCTAAGTGACTCCCAGATATCTGTGCAGCTGTTCAGAGGACAAGCCCTGCTGGGACAGGAATGGGCACGATGCCATTGCCCTCGGTGGCTCTTGACCAAGGAGCCCTTTCCAACCACCAATTCCTGCTGCATTCAGGCTTCCTTTTCCTCCCTTTATTAGCTCTGCTACGTCCTCTGCAGGCCTTCAGCTGATCATCCAGATGGACTGAAAGCTGAAACCTCCTTTCAGCATTTGTACTCCAGATCTCTGTGTTAAACTTACAAATGAACTTGGTTTAATCCATTTTCACAATTTATTGTGTTTCATTTTTTATGACAGCAGAAGCTATTCAAGAAAGTATGTGCTCAGTGGCTTCATTCCCATTCACACCTTCTCTAGAGAGGATAAATTCAAGGGAGAACCACAACAGTTCCTGGCACAGAAATCACAAGGACAGCAGCAATGGGGAGGTGCCGAGCTGACCCAACCACAATAACTCATCACTGGTCACCATCAGGTGAAATCCTGCACCACCAGCTCCTCCTGCCACCTTCTGCAGGCATTTCAGAACCACATGCCAAGTTTTTGGCATATTTTCTTTTGCATCTCTCCTCTTCCATGGCAGAGGTCCACATGGAACCACCTCACCCCCAGTGACCCCCATGGATGGGCCAGACTGATGGCCATTTCCATGAGCAAAATAACAACTGTGGCAAAACCAACTGAACTAAAGCACAGATTAAATCCAGATACACTTCACATTCAGTTACACTCCAGGGGTGGCAGTTGGGCAGTTGCAGAGTTGGAGATTTCCAGATAAAACATGGGTTCTATAATGAATCTTTAGCAGTTGGGCTGTTCTGTCAAAATAAAACCATCTTAATCTTTCAAAGAGAATCCTGGCTATTTAATTGATTAGCAGCTCTCTAATGAGAGGATTAAGTACAGGTAGATAACTGAGATGACTGACAGCTCTGCTGCACCAGCCTGAAACAAGAGGCCTCTGTTTTCCCACCACATGCCAATTAAACCATTAAGTATTGTTTACTGGGACTGGGAGCATTACAAGACAGTAGGTGGATTTATTAGCAGAGAAAGGAAAAACACTCCTACACAGCAGAAAAAGCTTATTTTGAATGACTAACAGCCATGCCCCTGCAAAGCATGACTAGAGCTGAGTTATTCACTGCCAGGAGGCTGCACCCCAGAACTTCTCCCTTTTTCAGACCATTTGCCAGATTATCAGATATCTCCAACGTGCTCACCATTTCCAGGTGTCCTGTGCAGATCATTTGCCCAGTTTATGGTGTAGACAGTTGTAAATTCAACTCCTTTATATTATCACTGGGCAAAAGGTTGGGAACTTCACTCACACTGGAGTCAGAATCTCACTTTTCTGGGGCAGGAGACCAAGACGTCTTTTAACAAGCAAGAGCTCCTTCATTAGCATCCTCTCAGCACATGTAGGCACTGAATCAAATCAACTAAATGCAAGTACCTGAACATGGCAGGAGCAATAACGTGGTTTAGCATCTTGCATCAAGAACATCCAATTTTACATGAATTAACAATTTATGTGGAGGAGCTTTGGAGGGAAGGGGGAGGAGGGAGAAGCTCTTGAATTCAAACGATCAGGCTCCATAGTTACCATGTCTGAACCAGCCACGGTGCTTTAAAACAATATGTGCCATTTTTACCAGGCTGGGGAAAAAAAAACACAAGATGCTGAAAAGATTTCCAAATGTATAACCTCTTGACTGTAGGAATCTGCACATTAAATGAGACTATTCCTTAAGCTTACAGTCCCCCCCTTTGTCTTTTAGGAGACCCTTTAATCTTCTGTTCTCTGCATGGCAAAAGTTAAGGGAAATATTCCAGTTAAACTGGATGGCAAGAGCTGACATTTTTTCAGATTTCCCCCTCCCCATTTCCTACACAAACCTGTAAGAGTGGCTTTAGCACAGCTGAGGAAACCAAGAGCTGTCATTTGTGGGTGAAGCTGCCAGCACTCCCTGCCCTGGGAGCTCTGTCCCCAGGATGTCACCATCACTCAGCCCTGGATAATGACCCAGCTTAGCTGGTTAATTAAAAAGGGCCAAGTCCCCGCCAGGCAGGACCCTCTGCAGGAGTGGAGACCACAGGAGGATGTTAACAGAGTAAAATATTTTGGGAACCTGTGGACTTGCATTTTTAGCAGCCTGTCCAGGGCTCAGGGCCCCTCTCTGGGATCCTGACAGAAATGGGAAGCACAATATTTTCATTTCTCCACAGAGGGCTGTGCACAACACCTGCTGTGAGCCATGAAAGCCTCGGGCTGGTGCTTCCACTGTGCCTTGGAGCTGCACCAGGCACAGCCATGAACACTCTGAATTTCAGCAAATCAATACATTAAAGGCCTGGATGTCAAAGAGAAAAGGGTGAAAAAGAGATCCCTGGGGATATTAAATACAAAGATATCACCTCTGGCTCTGGAAATCTCTGAGCCCTGGTTGGCAGGGAGGCTTTACCAAGGGAAATGTTCTTGCCTGTCTCCTGTGAGCTGCTGTGAGCTGCATGGGGCTGGAGGGGTTTGTGGGGGGCTGTGACCCCAAAAAGGCTGCAGAGGAACACACTGAGCTAATTACAAAGAGTGCAAAGTCTGTCATCCAGAGCTCAGCAAGCACAGTGGCTGGGGGAGCTGGCACCAGGGCTGGCAGGGGCTGTCCCAAGAAAAAAGCAGCATCTGGATAAATGTAGGGAAAACCACTGCAGGACACACAAAGGGAAGAACATCTGGGGAGAAGACCATGCAGGAGATGGGCAGGTTTTTCTCAGGGTGAGGGGCAGAGGAAAAAATAACAGGTTTGTTCTTGCTGACCAAAGCTCCCTGTTATTCATGTTAAAATGCTGCAGGAGTGATTGGCCACCACCAGGAACAGAGGATAAGGCTGCAGAACCAGTTCGGGGTGAGTGTCACCAGCAATAAGGGAACTGGTCAGAAAAAGTCATCAGCTTTCCAAAGGCACATCTTTCTTCTCAGAGACCCATCACGAGAGCAGAACAAGTGGGTCCAAAGGTTCATCCTTTCCCAAGTTATCACCCACAGATTCATGGCTTGTCACTGGCACCTACCAAATACAAGAGAGCTGTCCCTGTGGTGAAAGCTGCACTAAAACTCAGCCCCCACAACCTTGTGCTGTGGTGAACACAAAAATGACAGCTCTGCCCTCTGGGCTGGGTTGGAAAGAGGTGTCTGTCTGTCTGGCAGGCAGCAGCTCCTTCCCTCGTGAAGGAGAAAAGCCTTAATATTCACACAACAGCCAAGACAGGATTTTGTACTTTAAGTTCTGATTCTTCAGCCTCATCACAGCTGTTATAATTTTAATTAAAACTAAGACAAAAGTACAGCATTATTTGACAGAGGTCAAAAAGCAGTCCCTGGAAATGACTATGGCAAGACCAGGATGTTGAAGTGTGTCCTCTCCAGCTTTGTCCAGCAGAGTAACACTTGTTACTGAAAGGAAAAATCACTGGCTTTGATTTCAGCTGCCCTACCCAAGGATGTCCTGGAGGAGGAGGCTAAACATGGACTCAGCAAGGAACAGCTTCCCAGGCTGAAGTTTGGAGTGGGATTTCCAACTCCAAACAGGACTGGGACTAATTAAGCACAGGTCTCAGCTCAGTGTCTCCACACAGCAAAGGCAGTGCAGCTGCAGCCCCCAAACCTCCCCAGACTGCTCCTGGTGTGAGGGGGCAGGTCAGAGCCCATGCCAGGCTGGCACCCCAGCACTCAGCTCCGGGGGCACCAGGCAGCAGAGAGCAGGCAGCAGCTCTCAGAGGCAGCAGCTTCTCTCAGAGGCAGCAGCTCACATTTCATCAGACCTCCGGGGCTCCAATCACACAATTCAGTGCTCGGGAGGCTGTGAAGTGTGTCCAGCTGGGTGCCAAAAGCACAAACTCATTTTTCCCTATAAGCAGCACTGCAGTGCTCTCCCCCCATTCCCCTTGCATGGCACAATGCTCAGCTTTCCCAAGCTACGAATTTCAATGTGTCATTGCTGTGTCAGTCCTCACAACCAAAAGCCCACGTTAGCAGGGCATTCACTGCCCATTTGCCAGCTGACAGCATCCTTCACTGCCCTCCCTGGGAGCCCCTGCAGGCATCAGGTAAATCACTTTTTAATCTAGAAGGGAATAAACAGACCGTCCCCTGTGCTGCTCTGCACAACCCCCCCACAGGGCCCTCTGCAAACACACACCGTCTTGATGCATATTTAATTTTCTTCTTGTACAACGGGGAAAGAGTAGATACTGGCTCTTGGGATTTGATCTAGTAGCTAAAATTAAGCTGATTTTCAGGGTGGAGAAAGATCCTGGGATTGCACTCATTGGCTCTTCTTTCCTTAAGCAGAGCAGCTCCCTCCTTCCAGGTGCAGACACATGTTATTCCCTGTGTAAGGCCATGGATGGGCTCAGCACAGCTGTTCAGCTCTGCACAGGTACACACTGAGAACACACATCAGTACATGTTGCTCCTTGATGGGTCCAGTCATTCAGAACCAAACTACTGATATTCACAGGTTAGGTCTGTTTTGCAAAGCTATTCCAAGGTTACCAAGTGGTGGATCCTCACTTAGCACTTACCTGTGATTTATTTTTACGGGTTTTTTCTTGTAAAATTGCCCCAAATCTGGTGGGTTCTGCTGTGCTGACTTGCACACCAGTGTCACTTCTGCCCTAAGAACATCTTTTCCAAAGAAATACCAAAACCTTTTCTGGTGCTTTGACTGTACCACTGTCAGATCCAGCAAACTGAAGGACATTTTAACAGTTGGATGTTGCTGTCAGGAAAAATGGTAATACTGGCAACAGCCCAACGAAGAAAGGTGAAATATGAATGTACAGACTTACCATTTTTGTCAGCTCTTCTGAAAATCTAGAATTGAAACAGAGAAAGAAACATTTTTACTGTGCTGTTCAACAGGAGGGGGGGAAGCCCTTGGCCCCAGGGCCATGTCCAGCCCCCAAAGAGCCAATTCACTGAGAAACCCTTCCCAAGACTCAGCTTTTCTCCCCCAGACCAACAGGATGGACAGTCACTGCCAGGGTGCCTCTGGAATAACTGGTGGAAATGCTCCCAGCAGTTCCAGCACCTCCCTCACAAAGGGAAGCCGAAATGTGGATCCAACACCAGAAAAATACACATTAAAAAAATATCACAGCAGCCTTGCAGCCAGCCCAGCCAGCTCCTGTGGCATCAATAATGTCTCTTGAAGCAAGTTTCACAGTTCTGCACCTCCGAAAAAAATTATTTACAACATCTTTTTTTTTTGAAAGCAAGTCTCCTGCGTGGGAAGGAGATTATATTTAGAGTTAAAACTACAGCGTGGAGGAGCAGCCCAAGGGAGAAATCAGATAGCCATTTCAGCAGAAAAAAACTGCAATAATGTGTAGTACTGTAGAACTTGCCTGGGAGACAGACAGCAGAACCAACTGCTACTTTTCTGACCAGCTCATCTGAGGAACAGCCCCCTGACACAATGCAGGTAAGAGCAAAAAGGCTCGTGCAAAGCTTGAAAACTCACAAGTTCCTGTCAAAAACGGCTGCCAGCACAGGTTTGGCCATGAATTACCAAACAATTAGCATGCTCACAAACTGGGCAGAAGAGGTAAAATATTCTCATCATCCCTTCAGGCCTGACCCTGTTGATTTGAGCAAGAGCAGAGATTTTGGTTTTGCAAAGAAATTTCCCTGCAGAGGGAATAAAAGCACCAGCAAGACAGATCAGAGCCAGCTGTAAAATAGAATCTCTTATTTTCTGGGTCACAAAACCATTAAAAAAAAAAATCAGAAGAGAAACTGCTGCACAAAACAAGAAACCCAAGAGACAAATTGAATTGCAGAATAAGCTATTTCACTGACTATGGCTTAATTAAGGAGCATATTAATCATTCTTTTGTCCAAAGCTCTTCCCAGGCTGTGCAGCCCACAGCAAAGCCAAAGCTGGACTTCCTGCTGTACTTTCAGCAGAGGCAGAACCCCCCTGCTTGGGCCAGACCCAAGTGTGGGAGTCACTGAGTCTCAGCTTCAAGAGAGGGTCATAAAAACCCCACGAGGATTAGAGCTTGTGACCACTTCAAAACTCCTTCATTTTTGGGCTGACCATTTTTTTTAGAGCCATTAGAAGGTTTTGGGGGGGAAAATCCTACCTGTCTCCTCACTCACAGACTTCACTGAGGTTTTGAAGGGCCAGCCAGTCCTGCCTTGTCTCTGGGAAGATGGAATACATCCCAGCAGGACCCCAGGAAGCTGTGGCTGTAGCACACATTCCTCCCCTGTGTGCAGGATGCCCTGCCCACAATACTCCTCTTTTCGTGGTTTGGACACCCCAACTCCTCACTCCCCACAAGCACCTCCAGGTGAGGCACCTTCCTTTTCAGATGCTGATTATTTCTGGGCTATTTCTTTCATCAACATCCCCTTCTGTTACTCTTCACCCTGCTTTGAAACAAAGCCATTGCAGCCAGTCTAACACAGGAGCAGAGATGCCTGTTTTAAGATCACCACCCCACCAAGCCCAGCTGAGAGAGGGAGAGTGGGAAGGCAAAACCAACAGGTGAAATAGAACTTGTATTGAGAGAAAGGTTCAACCTGCAGTGCTCTGCTCCACAGAGCTCTTAACCTTGCAAGGGATGCTTGGAGCAACAGGAAAAACAAATAAATTAAGAAATGAAAAAAAAAAGTTTAGAAAGTGAAGTATTTATGTCCAGCTTCACTAAGTGAACATTTTAGAGCTTTAACTCCCCCAGATACTCCTTAAAGGTATGACTGTTGTAAATGAACATGTTGATAAAAGATCCCATTGGCTGTATTACTTATCAAAGTTTATTCTACAGGACCAAGCTGCTTGCTCTTTTTATTGCTAATGGGCAGGATTTATCCTTCCAACTTAATTGGACCATGTAAAATTTGCACACATAAAAATTTAAAGTGGGACACCTGGAGGGAAAGCAATTTAAGACAAAGTCATCAGTCAGCACAGGCAGGCACTGCATCAAGGTGTGAACACTGGAACGAGCACTGGGAGGCTGATAAAGATGTAATATACTCTGTGATAGCCTGGTAGTGCTGCCAAAAGTGCTGCCGCTGTGAAGCCCCGGGATTTATGTTCCAGCTCATCAAACAAGAGTGCCCTCCCACACAGAGCCCAGGATGCTCCGGGCTGGGCTGGAATTAGTGTTCCCCTGTGGGAAGGAGGTGCTCTCTGCACAGGAGAGGTGTGAGAGCTGCCGGTGGAAGAGAAAGCAGAGCCCTCACACCCGCCCTAAGGACCAGAGGGCAAACCCCAGGGGCAGCTGGGTGCCAGGCTGCCAGGAGCTGGGGGAACAACAGCTCCAGCTGCTCCCGAAGGGAATCCAGGGGAGGGTGCTGCAGGTGAGGATGCTGCAGGTGAGGATGCTGCAGGTGAGGATGCTGCAGGTGAGGGTGCTGCAGGTGAGGGTGCTGCAGGTGAGGGTG